CTCTGTTCTTGTGATCCTTTTAGTGTGCAGTAAGTAACATTTTATCCTATATATTAACAATATGTCCTTGTCCTAAAATCTTGATAATATTTAGCCTTTTTCTTCATATAACAATGTTACTTATCTTTTCAGGGAGGACCAGTGGAGACTCAGTGACCCAGATAGAAGGCTTGGTTACTTTCAGAGAGGGGACACCTCTGATCCTCAACTGTACTTACCAGAGCACTTACTCAAATGTCTTTATTTTCTGGTATGTCCAATATCTCAATAAAGCCCCTCAGCTACTTCTGAAGAGTTCAACACAAAGTCCGAAGTCAGAGAACCGGGGTTTCCAGGCAACTCTTGTTAAGAGTAACAACTCCTTCCACCTTCAGAAATCTTCACTCCAGCTGTCAGACTCAGCTCTGTACCTCTGCGCTCTGGGAGACACAGTGAGAAATCTGTAGGTTCAGCTGTTCCTAAACCAGGGTGCTGATAGGCACAGTCCTGGGGGGAGAAAATTCTCTCTAGGCAAAGTTGATGTAGCATCCTCCAGAATGAGATCCAATCTCAGGTGGAATTCATAGCCTCTTAGGAGTTTATGAATCACTCTGAGGCAAGATAGGATGACTGTCACAAGCTTGTGATCTCCAGAAGTGTCAATGCTCAGTTCAAAAGGCCCCTCTCCTTCCCAAGGAAGAGGAAATCCCAGCCAACATTTCCCATGACATGGATGAAATCATCAAAGTGAACTATTTCAAATATCCAGGTATTCCCAAAAACAAATCTCCAAAGAAACAACTGCCCAATAAATAAGTGGGCTAAAGACTTAAAGAGAAACTTCTCTGAAGAGGAAAGAAGGATGCCCAATAGACACATGAAGAAATGTTCAACCTCTCTAGCCATAAAAGAAATGCAAATCAAAACAACAATGAGATATCACCTCACCCCAGTAAGAATGGCTATAATCAAGAACTCTAATAACAACAGATGCTAGAGTGGATGTGGACAGAAGGGAATCTCACTACATTGTTGGTGGGAGTGTAAATTTGTTCAACCACTTTGAAAGCAGTATAGAGGTTCCTCAAAAGACTCCACATAGAGCTCCCCTATTACCCAGCAATCCCACTTTTGGGCATTTACCCAAATGATCACAAACAAGATCATAGTAAAGCTACCAGCACAACTATGTTTATTGCAGCATCATTTACCATAGCTAAGATATGGAACCAACCCAGATGCCTCTCAGTAGATGAATGGATCAAGAAAATGTGGTATATATACACAGTGGAATTCTATGCCTCCATCAGAAAGAATGGCATTGACCTATTTGTTAGGAAATGGAAAGAATTGGAAAAAATCATATTAAGTAAAGTAAGCCAGGCCCAAAGAAATACAGGTCAAGTTAGAGGAAGAGGGCTGCGGTGCTGGCAAAGCAGCATGACAGGATGCTTCCCACAATAACTGTACTTCAATCCATATCTGAAGAGAATTTCCGTAGAGTGAAGATTACTCTTTGTATGCCAAGTTGGTGTTGGTGTTAGGAGATCTGCATATCCCTCACCGGTGCAACAGTTTCCCAGCTAATTTCCAAAAACTGCTGGCACTGGGAGAGATACAGCACATTCTCTGCACTGGAAACCTTTGCACCAAAGAGAGTTATGACTATCTCAAGACTGGCTGGTGACTTCTGTATCCTGAGCGGAGACTTCGATGAGAACCTGAATTACCTGGAACAGAAATTTGTGACCGGGGGACAGCCCAAAATAGGTTTGATCCACGGAGATCAGGTCATTTGGTAGGGAGACATGGCCAGCCTGGCCCTGCTGCAGAGGCAGTTCGATGAGGACATTCTTATCTCAGGACACACTCATAAATTTGAAGCATTTGAACATGAAAATAAATTCTACATTAACCCAGGTTCTGCCACTGAGGCATATAATGCCTTGGACACATATATTATTCCATCGTTTGTGCTGATGGACATCCAGGCTTCCACAGTGGTCACATACATCCACCAGCTAATTGGAGATGATGTGAAAGTAGAAAGAATTGAATACAAAAAGTCTTAAAGCCAGTCTGTCTTGATTTTTTTCATTACTCTGTTCAAATCAAGCAATTAAACATTTAAGAATCACATCACTGTATCCCTTTTATATTTAACAGTAAAATGTAATACATCTTCTGTTACTACTTCCTCTAATCTTCTTAGAAACTGTAGTTAGTTTTCAGTATAGACTTTGTATTTTAAAAAGTCCACCTCACAGGAAATGGTTATGTATTCAGAAAAAGTTATTCTTGTAAATATCTTCAAAGTTGGCATTTGGACCTTATTTTACAACCAGTGCTTGAACAGAAAGAATACAGACTTTCTGTGTACATTTTTCTCTTCTCCAGTAATAAATATTTACTTTTCATGTAAAAAGAAGAAATATAGGTCCCATTGTTTTCCTTATTTGCAATAACTAGTATATGTCTGAGACAAAGAGAAACTGTCAGACAAGTTGATGTTAGGTGAAATGAACCCCAAGGTAAGGATTCAAATGTTCTTTTATCTTCCTTGTGATTGTTTCCAACGTATTTATAAGATGATTTCTTTGTTGCTTTGTATGTACTTTCACCAGGGTATACGCCTTGCTTTCACTGTATTTGATGTTGATATAATTTCTAGAGGGGAAGGGAAAAAACAAACTGTTTAAATAGGATTACAGGTGGACTCATTACAACAATGAGATGTATAAGACCTTACTTGGAAAAACGAACTTTACAACTTTGGCAGAGTGTGGGCTGGGGGAGTGGTGGTGGGGGGTGTGGGGGTGGGGGAGTGGAGAAGGGAAGGGCTGGTATGGGGAAACAAAGGAGGAGGCAACAATGCTTGATAAGAAATGTACTCACTATCTTGCCCATGTAATTTTAACCCCTCTGTATGGTATTTCCATAATAATAATAATAATATTTTTTTTAAAAAGACTCCACAGAGAACTCCCCTATGACCCTGAAATCCTACTTTTGGACATTTACCCAAATGATCAAAAACAATACCATACCAAGGCTAGCTACCAGCACATCTATATTTGTTGCAGCATTATTTACCATAGCTAAGATATGGAACCAACCCAGATGTCCTTTAATAGATGAGTAGATCAAGAAAATGTCACACACACACACACACACACACACACACACACACACACACATTTATATGAATTCTATGCCTCCATCGGAAAGAATGGCATTGCCCCATTTGTGAGGAAATGGAAATACTTGGGAAAATTATATTAAGTGAAGTGAAGTAAGCTGGGCACAAAGAAACATAGATCCCATGGTTTCCCTTATTTGCAATAACTAGTACATATGTAGGTCAAGCAGAAAAGGCCAAAAGCTATGTACATATAAAATGATGTCAAGCGGAATGAAAACCAAGATAGGGATACAAATATCTTTTTTTTTCTTGGTATTGTTTCTAACGTATTTTTAATGTATCATGTGATTTTTTGGTTGCTTTGTAAGTTCCTCCCCCATGGTATAACCCATTTTCACTGTATTTGATTTTGGTGCCCTGAGTCTTGTATATACACTTCTCTAATTCGGGAAGGGGAAGGAAAAAAACAAAACGCTAAATAGGGGTACAGGTTGACCCATTGTAACACCGAGATGTACAAAATACTATATTGAAAATGAACTTTACAACTTTGGGCAGGGGGTTGGGGGAGGATAGTTGTGGAGGTGGGAGGGAAGGGATGGTAGCGGGAAAACAAATGAGGAGGCAACAGTACTCAATAGAACAGTACTCATTACCTTGTTCATGTAACTGTAACTCCTCTGTACAGCATTTTTGCAATAAAAAACATAAAAAAGAACCACTAAGTAAACAGATAAAGTGGCTCATGCCTATTCTACATACTCTTGATACTCAAGAAGTTTAGATCCAACAATAATTTTCACACAATAATATTCAGCAGTTGTGTCTCAAATATTTATTTAACTTGAATGTTAGTGTTTGTAAAAATGTGTTAGTCTTTTACTGTTAAAAAGTTAGTGTTAATCTTATCTTTTCACATTTTGTTAGCAAATACTAGTTCTACATGGATTTTCCTTCTGAGAATTTCATACAAACATTCATTGTACCCTTCTCAAACTCATTTTTTCTGTCATTCTCCCTCCCGTCCTCCCTCTTAAAATCACTTCAAACCAGATATAGGTGGCTCATACCTGTTATTCTAGCTACTCAGGAGGATAATATCTTCAGATGTTAGTTCAAAGCCAGCCTAGGCAAGACAAGTCTGTGAGCCTCATGTCTCCAATTTCCAAGAAAAAATTCAGAAGTTGAGCTGTGGCTCAAGTGGTAGAGTGCTAGCCTTGAGCAAAAATACCTCAAGGACAGTGCACAGGTTCTGAGTCCAAGCCCCAGGACTGGCACCAAAATTTTCTATCTAATCTATCTATCTGTCTATCTATCTATTATCTCTATACATAATCTATATATAACATAATTATTCCTGTGGGATTGTCTCACAAGAACAACTGGGAGAGAGAGAGTAAAAGATAATAAAAGATGGTGAATAATATAGTGAAATATAAGCATTCATGCATGATGAAGGCATAAAGAAACAGAGTTGTCAAACAGTAGTAGGAAAGGGGGATAGGCAGAGAGAAAAATGTAAAAAGTTCATCCAACTAAAATATAATATATGCCCATTGGCAATACCATAGGGAAAGCCATAGCACAATTACTATACACTAAAACATGGGGTTTACTTTCAAAGGTTCACATAAAATGGGTCTGGATGCTGAATAATTCTTTAGTCATTATTGAGAAACCATTAGAGGGCAGCATCTTCTCAAGGATCCCAAGGGACCTTCTCAAGTGCACTGTGTGGTGGGGAGTGACTGCATGTGAAGGGGATGCTGGGAGGAGCTTGTTGCTGAAGTGGGGGGGGGGGGTGAAGAAAAGAAGCTTGTTTTTCTGATTGGTAAAAGTCTTTTTATGTTTCCAAAAGCACAGTACTGAGAATATCTCAATGAGACACATTTTCCTTTACAGTTTATTCTCTGAGTCCTCAGTGAATCCAAGGGAAAGAATGATGAGATCCCTGAGTGTCTTACTAGTGATTCTGTGGCTTCACATGAACTGTGAGTTTAACATTTTTATGGGGATATGAAGTCCAGTGTTGGTAGTTGTTTTATATTTCAGGTCTGCGAGGAGAAACACGAAAGTGCTCACTAGTCAATGAGAGAGGGTAAGAGGCCTGTAGAGAAAGCATCCACTATTCAACCATTGTCTTTGGCTGACCTTTGTCTTTCTGCACAGGGGTGAACAGCCAACAAATGGAGGTGGAGCAGCATCCTGAGTCCCTCAGTGTTCCAGAGGAATACACTGTCTCTCTCAACTGCACTTATAAGAACAGTGGTTCTCAGAACTTCATGTGGTACAGACAGTATTCTGGGAAGGGACCTGAGCTGCTGATGTCTACATACTCCAATGGTGATAAACACGAGGGAAGATTCACAGTGCATCTCAACAGAGCCAGCCTTTATCTTTCCCTGCACATTAGAGGCTCCCAGTTCAGTGACTCGGCCACCTACCTCTGTGCAGTGAGTGCACAGTGCTCCCCCAACACCTGCAGTCTGCACACAAACCTATGGGGGCCCCAGTAAGGCCTGAGCTGTAGCACAGAGCAATCTGTTCCCTAGATGTGATGGCAGCTAAGAGTAATAGCAGGTAGGGGTTGATTATTTTACTTTCTTATCATTGTGAAAATACTTGAGCCTGAAATTAAAGACAGAATACTGTTCTCTGTCATGTTAACTTTGACTATCAGTCTGAGTAGATTGATGTCTCAATTTGTAATGCACATTTCTATGTGTGTGTGAAGCTATTTCCATAGGTGATTAGCACTCTGCACAGTGTGAAAAGCTCCTCTAAAGGTGGGCAGGACAGATCCAATAGACTGAAGGCCTGGATGGAACAAATGCTTTCAGGCTGTGCCCAGCTTGTATTGAAGAATCTAGCCTCAAATTGTGTGCACACATGCACACGATCCTATAAAGAAACCTGTCTAAAATTCTACAGTTGACATGTTTTCCAGTTTTTTCTTTCAATTCTAAACTTTCAAAATATGTACAAAAGTTTCACACAATTAATGCATATGTCTTGACAAGAAGGTGCATATGAAAGCTCTATGAAACTGTTTCCATAAGCAGTGTACGTTATGCCTGCTTCTCTATCTTCTTTTTTTAAAAAAATGAGGTGTTATTGACAAGCATAAATGTACACCAACTTTGTCCATCCATCTTGATGTCTAACCCATTCTAATACCACATTCTTACTAACCATAGTTTTTGATACTTTTATGTATAAAAGTAAATGTAATATGATAATAGATATTCTCTTTCAGTGATTAACATGCCTTGCTTTTTTCCATTAAGCTTTTCAAGATGTTCATTCATTTCAAGAGGAATGTAATAGCAAAACAGAAATGCAAATGAGATAAAGGCTTCATAATACTCTACTTTGCTTTTTTTGTGCCAGCACTGGGGCTTAAACTCAGGACCTGTGCATTCACACCTAGTGCTCTTACTGGAGTCACAGCTCTGCTTCTGAAGAGTTTTGTGGACTCACCTTTCCTGGGCTGGCTTTGAACTGCAATCTTCAAATCTATCTAGGACTAGACACCCAATAACAATCTACTTTGAAAGAGATTTTTAGTCTTAAGTTATTTTATTAAAAGTTTAAAACTTAGCTGTACTCTCAGTTGCAACCAGGTCTGGATTAGTAAAAGACACAAATTAAAGCAAAAAATGTGATATGGAAAAGATAAAAAATCAGAGTGGATCTAAATTGGTGTACTGGTGTAAGGTCTGAGTAGGTCTTGGAATTCCTTTCCTAAGCCATACTAAGTGTAGCATGAAGATATGGGGAGCATCGACCACAGGAGCCCCTGACCCAGCTGACATGGGAGCACAGTGATTCTGGTTTCCTAGAGAAAGGGTATAAAACAGCATAGGCACCAAAGGAAGGATTTGATCTAGAGAATAAAGACTTATTCTTGCTTTTGGTTAATATTGAAGGTTTGTTCTTCTTCTCTTCAGAATGAGAGCTTTGCCGAGTAGATTAATCTAGGTTGACTGTAACAGATCATTATATACCCTCTTGGGTTTTAAGGTTTCTGTCGGGAAACATGTTCTTGGAATCTTAACTCTTTCTGCATGATAGGTCATGTCCTTATTAATAGTATTGAATAAGAAATGTCATGTGACCTGGTAGATTTATGTCTCATATAACCCACTTTTTTTTTTTTACCAAAATTAGAGTGCCAACTCTCTTTGTTCCCACTGTGATACTTACCTCCAGCAGCCCAAGACAGTGAAGATTCATCCCTGCCTGAGACCACCGATCCTGCTCTGTCCACCTGAGGAAGGCTAGAACATCTTAATGGAATTCCAATGCTTAACAATGTCTCTGAGTAGCCTAAGTGAATTAAATTACAGCCTACAAATTGATTTTTTTTTTTTGCCTGAACTCTGGGCCTGGGCGCTGTCCCTCAACTCTTCAGCTCAAGTCTAGTGCTCTACCACTTGAGCCACAGTGCTGCTTCTGCTTATGTGGTGCTAAGGAATCGAACCCAGGGCCTCATGAATGCAAGGCAAGCATTCTACCACTGAGCCACCTTCTCAGTCCCAAATTGATATTTTTAAGGTAAGAATTTTTCCAGAGCTGTTGAGTCTCCCTTACTCTGTTTCTCTGGTTCAGGCCAGTTTGAAAGTAAGAAAGGGTCAGGGCAAAAATAACAGGTGCAATGGCCACCAATACCCATGGTGTTTTCCAAAGTTGACTTCTTGTTTACACACACACACACACATTTCTCAGAATAAGGTGTACAAAAAATAGGAAAATGGGACTGGGAAGGTGGCTCAGTGGTAGAGTGCTTGGCTTGCATGCATGACGCCCTGGGTTCAATTTCTCAGCACCACATAAGCAAAAAGAAAAAAGCCAGAAGTGGCTCTGGGGCTCAAGTGGTAGAGCACTAGCCTTGAGCTGAAGAGCTGAGGGACAGCGCCTAGGCCCATAGTTCAGGCCCCACACCGGACCCCCCCCCAAAAATAGGAATATCTGAGAACACTAGATCCTCTGGTGCTGAGATCTAGCCTTCTGTTTAGACATACAATGATTATAGTCATTTTAACTTAAATTTTTATTCAAATTAGATCTCTTTACTTCACTATATGAATTAACAGCTTCATCTCACTCCCTTGAATTTGGTGTCCATAAAGGTTTTTCTGTTTTGTTTACTGATGTCTTCCCAGACAACATACTTATTACAGGAGATCAGGACCAAACCCAGGAGATGTAGTTCAAGGAGCTTATTGGTTGAGGTTATGAAACCATTACAACCTGCAACATAGCAAAGACATATTCCACCCAATGTGAATAAGATGATTGATAATGTCAGTCAGGATCCAGATCCTGCTGCTTCCTAGTGATCCTTCTTCCTGAATCATTCCTATATCCACATCACTGAGACCCTGACCTTCCTCATAGTATCTCTAATGCAGAATTGATCTAGGTCAAAGGGAACTTACCATATTCCTCCACCTTAGTGTTACTGCTGTCACATATTTTATTCCACACAAAACACCAAAAGAGTTTTATAGTTTTACCTTTAAAACATGATCCATTTAAAATATTTTTCTTTTAGTCATTTAGTTATGTCCTGTCCTGCATTGTTTTTGTTTAAAAGTTAATTGTTATTATTGGCTTTGATTCTTTGTGTAATGTGACTTTTCTCACCCTTCAGGCAACTGGAGTTAGTTTTTTCTGTATTACAACATTTAAGAAACATAAGCATTGCTGTGGTTTGAATGGGGGTCTGACCTATTAAGGCCTGTGATGAGGCTTGATCCCTAGTGTGGTCCTGGTGGGAGACAGAGCTTTTTAGAGATAAACAACTCCCATGGCACTACCCAGGGATAGATGATTGGCTTTTCTCAAGAGGTGACTGAGTCTTGGAGGTCTCCAGTAGAAAAGTCTTGGTGTGCCTGGTGTGAGCAGATCTTATGGAGTTGGGTTAATTGCATGGCTAATGAATTTCTGAATAATTGCATAGCATCCTATGTACACTTGTAAATATGTAAAGCACATATCCATGGCTTTCTTCTTGAAATTTGATTCTGTTTTCCTTCTGCATATACCTTCCCCTTGAGCTGTCTTATAGCAGTTCCTGCATTGGATGCTTTGCTTTACATGGTTTTTAATCACCTGCCGTCAATTAAAATACAAAAGTATTACACAGAAAGTTCCAGAAATAAAAAGTTTATGAGTTTTCAGTGTCATGCCCCTCTGCATTGTAGTGAAATCTTGCACCCCTATACTCTGCCACTCAGGAGAGAACCATCCCTGTACAAAATGTCCATGGGGCACAACTAGCTACCCTTTAGTCACTGTTTACTCTTTGTTTTATTTGTTTTCGTGGAGATGGGGAATCAAACTCAGGGCCTTGCATATTTTGATAGGTGGTCCATCATTGAGCTGTATCACTAGACCTTGCTAAGTAGTTTGTCAAGTAAATATGTGCCAGTTCTTTTGGTTGTAACTCTCACTGAAAAACTTACTGCTGCAGATCATAGTGAGTGCTTAGTCAGATGGAAAATGTTCTACTCTGTGGGTGATTTGAATATAGCATGTGTCCTGGTAGACAGCAATATGTTGTAACAAAATGCCTAACTTTATAAGTAAATCTTATGTGTATGTCTACATATATATGTATTTGTGTGGTAAAACATATCATACATAGAGTCCAGTACTACTAGTGGTTTCTGGCATTGATGGGAGGCCTTGGGACTTACCTCCCATTCATAAGGGAGTCCACTGAAATAAAAAAATCAGGGTCATGAGGTCTGTTCTTGTGCCAGTACCAAGCTGTTTTGATTACTATGGCTTTATAGTAGAGTTTGAAATTTGTTATTGATATTCCTCCATCAGTATTCTTTCCATTGAGGAGCGTTTTTGCTATAGGGGTCTTTTATTGTTCCCTATGAATTTTTGGATTGCCTCTTCTAGTATATGTATGAGTCAAGCAGAAAAGGGCAGACAGGGTGATGTTAGGAAAATGAACCCTAAGATATGTATTCAAATGGTTTTTTTCTTTCATGCATTTGTTTCTAACACATTTATAAGATTATTTCTTTGTTGCTTTGTATGTCCCTCCCCCACAGTATAACCCTTGCTTTCACTATATGTCCGTATAATTTGTTGAAGGGAAGGGGCAAAACAAGTCGTTTAAATAAGAATACAGGTGGACTCGTTGCAACAATGAGAAATACAAGTTGTCATGTCGAAAACGAACTTTACAAATTTGGTGTGGGGGAGGGGAGGATTGGGTGGGGGAGGGAGGGAGGCTGGGAAGGGATGGGAAGGGGAAACAAAGGAGGAGGCTACAATGCTTGATAAGAAATGTACTCATTATCTTGCCCATGTAATTGTAACCCCTCTGTACAGTATTTTCACAATAAAAAATAAATAAAAATTAAAAAAAAAAAGAATTTAACCTAAAAAAAAATCAGGGTCAGACATACTGTCTTGCAGTTTTCCAGAAAACCATCAGAAGGCGCTGCACTCTCAAATGTAGGTCGCATTTGCATTCAGGTGGTATAACACC